TAGAAGAGATGAATATAGTTTGTACTCAATGAAACCCACTTGCTGTTTAAAAAATAACAAGAAATATTCAGTTTTGTAGCGTTATTTACTGAGAATGACAAAAGCGGGTAAGGGCAACAAATAGTTTTATAGTTTAGCCTGTACCTGTACATTTCATTTTTTCAATTATCAATCTGTTGTTGATAGTTCTTTGATATTTGGCTTATATGCTGTTGGTAGTTTTTTATTTTTCATTTTAAAGCAGTTTGTAATTTTGATTTTTGGTTGTTAAGTATTTAGTGACCTTGTGTGGTTGCGAAAGAAGTTGGTAGTTATGCTATGTTTGGTTGCTAAGCAGTTTGTAATTTTGATTTTCGGTTGTTAAGTATTTAGTGACCTTGTGTGGTTGCGAAAGAAGTTGATAGTTATGCTATGTTTGGTTGCTAAGCAGTTGGTAGTTATGCTATGTTTGGTTGCTAAGCAGTTTGTAATTTTGATTTTTGGTTGTTAAGTATTTAGTGACCTTGTGTGGTTGCGAAAGAAGTTGGTAGTTATGCTATGTTTGGTTGCTAAGCAGTTGGTAGTTTTTTTTTTTTTTTGGTATCTAAGCAGTTTGTAATTTTGATTTTTGGTTGCTAAGCAGTTGGTAGTCCTAAGATGTTTGGTTGCCGAGAGTAGTGAAGAACACTAGAGTTTAAAATATCTTGAAAGTTTAGTTTTTCTCTCAGCTGATCAAAATGTTGTTTCTACCAACTGCTTTGAACAGCACTTTCAACATTGAATATCTTAGCATTTTCTGAAAGCAGTTTACATACAAGTCCGCCATCTTTCCTTGTTCTAATTACGTTTTTCTGTTAAACTTTCCCTCCATATACAGTCAGTTTTTCTTTTATTTCCTTTTCTTTTATGTTGCCCCCAGTGGCACAGCGGCATGTCTGCGGACTCACAACGCTAGAAACCGGGTTTCGATACCCGTGGTGGGCAGAGCACAGATAGTCCATTATGTAGCTTTGTGCCCAATTCCAAACAAACAAAACAAATCCTTTTATATTGCCTCCAGTGGCACAGCGGCATGTCTGCGGGCTTACAACGCTAGAAACCGGGTTTCGAAACCCGTGGTGGGCAGAGCACAGATAGCCCATTATGTAACTTTGTGATCAATTCCAAACAAACAAAACAAATCCTTTTATATTAAAAGCAAGGAATTGAATGTCTTCAGATTAAAATATATATAGCTGTATATATAACTCTAATAACATGAATATGTTTAAATTTAACATATATTTTGACAAAAAGTGTTGTATCGTTTAATTCAGATAATTGTTATATTTTAAATTCTAACATATTAAACGATCTGTCAAAGCAGAATCTAAACTTTTACAGAAATTCTCATTATTAATCCTTTCTTTTCTATTTTCACTTTTACCCCTATTTTTATTTTGTTTATTACTACAAATATTTATTTGAAATAAACGTCCAATAATTAAAAATTTAATCTAATTAAGTTTAATTAAAAATTCGGCACTTTTGTTGAGCAAATCCTGATTTAATCCAATAGGACAAAGTTTTCTTTTCTTACTATTAGTTGATTTACATTATATATATATTTTTTCCAAGATAGTAATTTTGACATTAGCAAATGAATGTTTGTTAAAAATTATCTGTTTCAATTGAATGAGGTAAACCCTTATTAGTTTGATATCTGTGTAGGTTAACCCTTAAATGCAAAGGATTAATTGTGTCTTCTACATATGTTTAATAGATAAATTACGTTTTACATAGTGGTATATCTTGACGTAAATGTTGAAAAACCGGATAAGTTAAGCATCTTGAAATGTTGCAAAGAAACGTTTCATAGATTTAAGTAGCGGATGGTAAATAGCTAGATAAAATAAGAACCAGTGTACAACTGTGGTAGAAGATTCCTGAATAGGAAAATCAAACCGTAATTTTCGTTACATGGATGAGTTAATCTCCATTAACAACTTGAAGTATGATCCAAACCTAATATATCCAGAAAAACTTATAATAACGGTCTCAGGAGAAGCCTGTTCTACCGTTGTGACACCTACTGACAAAAATTGGAATTACATTTTAGTGACATTGCAAAATGCAACTGTTGAATTTAGTATCCATATAGAATTCACAGGTGACTTAGACGTAGACATTAATTTTGTAGAAGGCAGAATACAGTCGACTATTTTTGATAAAGAGAGAAAAATGAATTTTCCCATCCTTGGTTTACTCACCTCTAATAGTATTGTTCCATTTTTACTTCCCATCCTTGGTTTACTCACCTCTAATAGTGTTGTTCCATTTTTACTTCCCATCCTTGGTTTACTCACCTCTAATAGTGTTGTTCCATTTTTACTTCCCATCCTTGGTTTACTCACCTCTAATAGTGTTGTTCCATTTTTACTGTTAAAAGGATTATTATATTTCAATTATTTTTTTTTTTTTTACAATTTGCAACAATACTAATTCTTTTATCGATAATTTTCAATTATTCATAAATAAATTGAAAGTTAACGGTTATAAGGACTGACGTATTATTTTTTAATACTTTTTATAATAAACCTAACCACCTGGCCATGCTGGGCAAAGTATGTCTACATGTTTGGTTGGACGGGGATTCGAACCCGCGACCCGCAGATTGCGAGTCGAGCAACCTAACCACCTGGCCATGCTGGGCCAAGTATGTCTGCATGTTTGGTGGGACGGAGATTCGAACCCGCAACCCGCAGATTGCGAGTCGAGCACCCTAACAACCTGGCCATAACGGGCCACTTTAAAAAGTAAATTTTTGATTATGGCAACTACCTTGTGAAGAAGTTCAAGGTCGTTAGTTACTCAAGGTTATCCTTGGCTTATAAGTAACTTAAAAAAAAAATTAGATTTTTGTTCAGTATACCGGGACGGAAAGACTTAAAGTAAGTCTTTTAAACTTTTGATGTTTAAAAATTCATTTATAAACGAAATATTGGGAAGTATGGTTTATATTTTCATAGATTTGTTGAAAACTTAGAAGATCAAATAAATAATAAAATAGTTTGATTTGTTTATTATAAGCTAATGATTCCTTTGTTTCTTGGGCATGTCAATAAACTTGGTTTGGTTTTCCTCTGTTCTCTTTACCATATTGACACCATTTACTTTCTTTTAACCCTAGGTTTTATACTCCACGAGATACCTGGTCAGCAACAATTACAATCAGTAGTTGTGCCGTGTTACCTATAGCCTCGGACGTTCAGTGTCCACTGATACTAGTGGTCAAACCTTTGGCACTCCCTTCTGTTGAACAGGACTTAAACCTACAAGATCAAAGTGTAGTAAACTGTACTCATACGGTCTCAGGAGAAGCCTGTTCTACCGTTGTGACACCTAGTGCCGAGAATTGGAATTACATTTTAGTGACGGTGGAAAATGCAACTGTTGAGTTTAGTATCCATGTAGAATTCACAGGTGAGATGAGTGGGAAAAGGCTATACTAACTGAATAGAGTACTGAATTATCTTACTTTTGTGTTTACCAATATTTTTATGGTGTCGGTAAGGAGTAGAATGGACGAGTTGGAAGTTACTTTAAAACATTTTAAAATAATACGTTATGATGCCAATATTTTGTAGGTGTCGGTAAGGGGCAGAATGGATGAGTTGAAAGTTACATTAAAACATTTTAAAATAATACGTTATGATGCCAATATTTTTATGGTGTCGGTAAGGAGTAGAATGGACGAGCTGAAAGTTACATTAAAACATTTTAAAATAATACGTTATGATGCCAATATTTTTATGGTGTCGGTAAGGAGTAGAATGGACGAGCTGAAAGTTACATTAAAACATTTTAAAATAATACGTTATGATGCCAATATTTTTATGGTGTCGGTAAGGAGTAGAATGGACGAGTTGAAAGTTACATTAAAACATTTTAATAGCGGTTGTCGGGGAAAATATATTTGTTTTGAGTTTGAGCCTCTAAACATAATGCACTTTTTTAAATAAACGATTTTTTTCTACGTTTTTATTCAATGTCATCGTATCAAATTACTTGCTGGTAATGTGCTGTGATGCTAGTGAAGTTGAGTGATACTGTCTTTTGTTCAGTAATAGATAAATTCCTGTTTATTTCGAGCCTCAGATATGTTGAATACGGAAAATCTGTTATACTCTTGTGATAGAATGTTTATTTTCACGATAGTTTGTCAAGATGATTCTAAGAAACTTCTGTTAACGCCGGAAGAAGCTACAGAAACCCCACAGCTTTCCAGTTCTTCGTACTCGCAGCTTGTAGTTAAGCCTACTCCAGTATTCTCGTTTATAAACACCAGTTGTTGGAAAAACGTTCCGCTGGTTCGTCACACTATGGTAGAAAACTTTGCTTTCAGATACGAACCCTTATCTTCCGATAACAGTAGCTCCACATCGTCTGCTCTGAACATAACCACAGATGAGACGACATTGTTCAAGTTTGACATTTATCCTATCCAGGACATTGGGGGAACTCTGGAAATAAATATCGTCCTGCCAAGCACGATAGTAAGTACTGCTACAACCATACGATAACCATAACACTATAGCTTAAAGGATTTATGTATATTCCACTACTATTGAGTTTTTTTAATTTTATTGACAGTGTTTGCACGAGTAATTGAGTATAGTTAAATTGAACATAAAAGAAAACTTCTGTTAAATTAATTTGAAAATATGATTTGTGGTTTTGTTTTTAGAATATCACAATGAATAACATAACCATAGCGGCCTGTCTAGAGTACACAATGCGTCCTCGCTTGTCAGCTAATGGAAGCTGTGGGTCGGACATTAGTAATAACGTGAACACCAGCTCTGAAGATCATCGGGTACTCACTATGTTAGTACCTTATCCAGAGGCAGGGCCTTGGTATCTGGCCCTCACTCCTCGCTGTTATTTCCAAGAAAACGAAGGCAACGAGAAGTAAGTAAAAGTTCGTTGTATATTTGTAGCTAGGTAGATGTGGCAGGTAATAGTTGTTATATAATAACCATGAGGAATAAGGATCGTTAACATTTCGTAAATGTTTTCCAGTTGTGTTATTGAACTACGGTGTGTAGGTTTTGAGAGTGGGTGCTTGCAACGTAGAGTAGCTAAATGGGTGTTTGGAACGTAAGGTAGCTAAGTGGGTGTTTGGAACGTAAGGTAGCTAAATGGGTGTTTGGAACGTAAGGTAGCTAAGTGGGTGTTTGGAACGTAAGGTAGCTAAGTGGGTGTTTGGAACGTAAGGTAGCCAAATGGGTGTTTGGAACGTAAGGTAGTTAAGTGGGTGTTTGGAACGTAAGGTAGCTAAGTGGGTGTTTGGAACATAAGGTAGTTAAAAAAATAGATGCAAGTAGACCTGGGAGTCAATTGGAGTTTATATGAATGATGTTCCAGATTCAGTCTTGACCTTGAGTTTATAAGAATGATGTTCCAGATCTAGTCTTGTCCTTGAGTTTATAAGAATGATGTTCCAGATCTAGTCTTGCCC